TAGAATCTTTAAATCAATCACCTACCCTGAGCACAAGGCTCTCTGCTCTCAACTGCTGTGTCAGTGAGGGTGTGAGCCCAAGCTATAGCTTCTAATAAAAAGATCCTCATGTGTTTTGCAACAGACTTGACTCCTGGCAGTCTTTTGGGGTCTCATGAATTGGGCACAACAGAAGAAAGAATAAAGGAAGAAGGAGTGAAGCCCAGACTCCAAAGCTCCTCAGCTCATTAGGGGTTAGGGAAACTCTTCCCTGGGAACTTCAAAGGCCAGAGAAGGAGCATAGCATAGCTCCTAAGCTCAGCTCTCCAGGAATTGGGGTAATCCTCCTCTGGGAGCTGCAACATCTCTGTTGAGGAGGCCTCTTCTCAGAGCTGCGAGGTTTCTGGGTTCCTATGTCTCAGGATACTGGCCCACCTCAGAGCTGGGATACCTTCCCAGCCCTCCTCGCTGTGACTCATTTGTGACCTTGGAGTTGTGGGTTTCCTGGACACCTTCCCACCCAATCAGGAAGGCAGGCCAACCAAAAACAGCAACAACCATGCCTGACCTGTCCCTGTATTTTCAATTGTTAATTGATGTACCAGCAGTGCAAGTGGTGGCAAAATATTTGATAATGCTATTCTATGGCCCATTACCTGCTTTCTATATGTAAATGTTTGTCACTGCCTCACCTGCCCAAGAGGAAAAAGAAAGCTGTCATGGGAAGGTCACAGAAGGTCATGTTGTCTTCAATCTGGCCAAAAGGCAACACAAAACCAGGATTAGTCCTGCTGGTTGGTCCAGAATGAGTAAACTATGCTAATAGATTTTTTTGTTTTTATGAGACAGGAATGGCTTTTGTTAAATAAAGAGCTGGTGGCTACAGCTGGGGCAGAAGGACTAGCAGGAGGACTGGGCAGAAAGACAGAGGAAGGAGACAGAAGCATGGATGGGAAGGGACAGAGATGAAAGAGAGAGAGAGAAAGAGAGTGAGAACCATGTGGTGGGGATGCAATGGCAGGGAAGTGGGGTTAAGTTACAAGCTAGCTGAGAGACTGCCCCAGCAAACAGGCCAACAGCATTATACTATACAGATGTCTTCGCATCTTTTTATTAAACCACAACTGAGAGCCCCAAAGTCCTCCAATAGATTTATAGAATGTTTAATGAAAAAAAAAAAAGAGAGAGAGAATGTTTAATGAAAATAAGCTAAGGCAAGAGAAAAAGAATCATCATTCTTTAATAATTCCAGGGCTAGTAATGGTAGTGGGTCATTACCAACCCTAAGTGTGAAGGGACTGGGGCCGTAAATACTTACCAGTGCTCACAAATTTTGAGAGTGGTACTGAACTGGATCCATGGCTTTCAGAAGACAGACTGTGGCCAGCAATACGGGGAGGCAAGCACACATATAGGGCATGTCTTAGTTTAGATTTTATTGCTATGAAGAGACACAATGACCATGGCAACACCTAAACACTTAAATGAAAACACTGAAACACTGAGATGAAAACATTTAATTGGGGCTAGCTTACAGGTTCAGAGGTTTAGACCATTATGGTCATGCAGGAAGCATGGTGACACACAGGCAGACATGATGCTAGAGAAGTAGCTGAGAGTTCTACATCGGGATCAGCAGGCAGAAGGAAAAGAATGACCCTGGGTCTGGCTTGAGCATTTGAAACGTCAAGGCCTATGACCAGTGACAAACTTCCTTCAACAAGGCTAAATACTCCAACAAGAACACACCTACTAAATAGTATTACTCCCTACAGGGTTCATTCAAATCTTCTGGCACAACACTTAAAATGGTTCTCCCTCTGTTTCATGCCAGTGCTGAGCTGAAAGTAAAGGCCTCGGTTTAGTCCTGTTGTTGGTATTAAACTGATAAAAACGGATAGTACACTTGATATTAGCCAAAATGATGACAAAAGACATAGTCAAGGGGTCATCTTTCACTTGCATTTCTCATCAATGCATACAATTTGCAAAACCCAAATCTGAGACTAGATCTCAGAGGATATTTGTCACTCTTCTAGGGCATAAAGGTAGAGACTGAAAACTAGAACAGCAAATACAGCAATGTGTTTGGCTGTTCAGACTGATTTAACCAGACAGTGCTTAGAGGGGTACACACGGGACATGTTACTGGTTTCTTACTACTTTTATTGGCTGCATAGTGCAAACATTTTAATACACCACCAAAGTTCAGGGCTTTCCTGAGTTTATTAATAGTGTTAGCAGTCTAGGAATCCATGCTGTAAATGAGGCGTTGTATTTATGGTGGGTGTCCTTACTGGAGTTAATGCTTGCTGGGAGCAGGAAGATCCTCGCACGCATAGGCATCCAGGGAACACATGAATGTTAATCATGAAAGAATATTTCCTCAATGGGGGAAATAAAATACTTGCATTTCATCCAGAAAGCTGAGAGTGGACTTTGTTAATAACCTAGTTGGTGACAGTAGTGGTCTGAATAGGTTTGGCCCCCATAGGCTCATGTGTTTGAATGCTTGGCCACAGCGAGTGGCACTATTAGGAGGTGGGCCCTTTTTAGAGGAAGTGTGTCAGTGTGGAGGCAGAGCTTTGAGATCATATATACTCAAGCTCTGTCCAGTGTGGAAGCAGTCTCCTCCTGGTTGCCCTAGAAACACAATCTACTGCTGTGTGTGTCAGATCAATATGTAAAACTCTCAGCTCCTCCAACACCATATCCCTGCATGCTGCCATGCTTTCCGCCATGATGATAATGTACTGAACCTCGGAAGCTATAAGCCAGCCCCAATTAAATGTTTGCCTTTATAAGAGTTGTCTTGGTCATGGTGTCTCTTTACAACAATAAAACCCAAACTAAGACAGTACCTTTTTGCTAATTGTGAAGGAGGACCTCATCCACCTTTTGCTATAGAAGCAGGCCTCACTCAAGTGCCCCAACATGATTTTCACAGACTCTCCATCCCTAGACCATTACCTGTAGCTGCCAGAGTTATTAGAACCCATCCTTAGGGAAGATGCCACATGTGTTTTATGTACTGCTGAGCTCTATGCTATCTTGGTCAGAGACCACACTAGATTCTAGGCCTTTTAGCTACTGAACACATTTTCAGGTCACATGCACTTTGTAAGGAGTCCCTAAGTAGCCGTACCTTAAGCTTTATTGTACAACTGGAATGGGATGACTGTGGCCTGAGAAGTTTTCCCCAAACTTTAGTGTGTTTTACATGTGCTGACAATAAACTGCCTGGCACTAGACCCCCTAATGTCTGATCCAGGTTGATGAAGTCTACCTGAACTGAGTTTTCATTCTCATCTCTTCATGGTTTTTCGTCCCTGCAGAGTACCCCTCAATTGCTGAGAAAAAATATCACAACAAAAGCAACTTGAGGAGGAGAGGGTTTATTTGGCTTGTGCTTCCGTTGGATTGTTTATAATTAAAGGACTTTATACAAAGTCATACAAAGAAAAAAGCCAGATCTTATGAAGAAGACTTTTTCTCAATCAAGGTTTCCATTTTCAGATGACTACAGCTTGTTTCAATAGTTATTATATTACTATATATACATATGTTTTATGTCAAGTTGACATAAAACTAACCAGCACAATTCATCAACCTCCAACAGCCTCAACCCTTTTTTCTTTTACAAGAATAGGCACCAATCTCTTCACATTGTGGCATCCACAGGAAATCCTGACATTTGTACAACAGTAAAATGAAGAGTGAGGGATGGCTATTTCAAGCTGTGGCAACTGGACAAGAGGCTCTGCTTGTTCTAAAGATGGAAAATCACTGTCTTACCCATGCTTCATGGGAAACTCTGCTCAAATCTGTTTTCTGTTCTGAACAGTAACATCAACACAGTTTCCTCCATTCTGTCATGTCCTTCTACTCTAATAGTAATGTTCACTTTGTGTGACACTGAAGATTTAGGCACTGGACTGGAAGAGTTCTCGGGGGTCATCTAATTTATTCACTTCGTGTTATGGAGTCAAGCCCATACTGGATATGGGGTTTTAGGGTGGACTCATTTATAAACCCAGACATCCATCTACTGTTAATAAAACAGTTAAGTGAAAGGCACAGCTTAGATTGGTTACCCAGTATAGTCTGTAATTCTCTCTGAAGGGTGAAATAGTTAAATACATGAAGTGTGAATGTATGGATGTACCATACCAAAGCCCCCTCTTTTCTCCCCGGTAGGTTTGCTTTGTTTCTTCCAGTGCTTTGTACTATAAAAATAACTTGTGACCACTGGGTACAAACAACCCAATGGCTGCATTTGGCCTGCGGTCTTTCAGATCTCTGACAGTTATTGTCAGGCAGAAAGCTGACAGAAACACATTTACTGGTTTCTTGTTGAATGAAACTCTTCTTCCTCCCTTCCTCCTCTCTGAGACAGGGTGTCTCTACATAGACTGTTCTGGAATTCACTACGCAGACTAGGCTGGTCTTGTACTCAAGAGATCCGCTTGCCTCTGACTCCAGAATTCAGGCTTTAAGGGCGTGTGCCACCACGCCTGGCCCCGAGTTCTGTTTTTGTTACATCAAAACCTGATTAAATATTTTACATAGAGAAGTGGTATGTTTCAGGTCTCTGGGGCATTTTGACCAATTACCTTTTCTTTACATGTTGTACAAAAGGCGCAGCGTCCGCATGTCTAACGAAGTCCTGACATTTGCCGTCAGACCCCCTCAGGTGCGTTTCTAAAGGCAAAAGGTACCGGCGCCCTGAACGCCAGAACATTGACGAAATAATGAAAACACACCCACGTGCTCGGGTCTTCTCCCGCGGTGCAAGTTCTTTGAAATCGCTCGGAGAAAAACCGTCTTAGCGTCAGTTTTGCACTTTCGACATCGGCTTCTCTGCCATAAATCAAAACAAAACCCATAAGGATATTAAAAGAAACGACCAGAACAGGTGACGAACTTCCGGCTGTAGGTCCTGGCTCGTTAGGGCCTCGACTTTGTGCTTCCCGGTGGATCCTGAGCACCCCGGAGCCCGTGTGGAAACGGCGACTCCGCTGGCTTCCGCAGCGGGAGGGGCGCGGCGTCTGTGACGTCATCTCCGCGGGGCGCCGGCGACCGCGCTCCGAGGCTCGTCCGCGTGCGGAGTGGCTGTCGCGAGCGCTGAAGCCGCGCGGAGTGCCCTGGTTGTCCGCTCGCGCTCGGGCCTCACGGAGATGGCAGACGATCTGGGAGACGAGTGGTGGGAGAACCCGCCGGCCGCTGCCGGCAGCCCAGGTACGCGCTCCGCCCGCCTCCCGCGGTGCCCTCCCCAGGTCCTCGCTCAGCACCCAGCCCCGCGTGTGGCCCACGCGCTCGTCCACGCGGACTGAAGTAGACCGTTTTTGTACCAAGAGGCAGTTCCGCTCAGCGCTGACCGGAATTTTCCTGAGTTAGGTTCAGATTGTGGGAATTCAAATCACCGACTTAATACTCTGACACAGTCTCCTTTTCCTCATGCGTAAAAAGAGTAATTCCGATGTCTATTCAAAAATTGTTATAAAGATGGTGTGAAGGTAATTTAAAGTTGTACAGTTCAGCACAATGTTTGGCGCATAGTGTATGCACAAAATATTAATATAGTGTGTTCTTTGTAAGATGTGGTTATGGCCAGCAAGGGGCTTGAGTAAAAGTCATCCTTTTGAACTTCGCTCCTTTACAGATACGGAATGTGATTTAAAGATGTTTCAGTAACAAGTTCCCTTAGATAGTCTGTTTCAGAAAAAAAAAAACTAGAATTTAGTTAAAACGGTTCTAACAGTTTTATTATGCTGGGCCATGTGCACCCATTCTGGATGCAGTAGGCATTTTATTTTCAAGTAAAGTAGCATTAAGTAACGCCCCCAGAGTGACCTTGAATATTTCAAGTTCCAAAAGAGTTAACATGCAATAACTACGGTTACTGTCTCAAGTCATCCTGCAAGCATCCAAAGTCTGCCTGTCTGTAGTTTTTGAAGATAGGCTCAATGTCAGATTTCTGTTTATTTTGACCTCAGAGCCATCATGTGATAATAAACACTGATGGAGTTGACAAGTTTAGGTGTTTTGTCAGGGTGAAGCGGAAAGTTACAGCATGGGTTTTTGTGACTTAAGGGAAAAAAGTTGAGTTGAGTTTGAGTTTCAGTGCAGTGGAGTCTGGGAGTCTGGATCCCAGGGTGAGACTAGAGACAGAAAATAGCCGGCGCTGAGCCACCGGAGCGTGAAACCAGAAGTGAAGTAAAAGAGTGAAAGTACCTTTTCCTTGGCAATCTATAGCCCTCAGTTCTCATATCTTTCCGGTAGTGTTTGTCATATGAGTAGCTCATTCTGAGTCTTTGATGCCACCTCCTACCATACATGTATCAAGCAAACGGGAATGCTCAGAAATACCAGGAGACAGTGGGTAGTAATGCTAGTTTTTATTGTTGAGCTCTTACCATGTGCTAAATCCTTTTTCTTTTTTTTTTTCTACCCTCCTCTCTCTTCCTCTCTCTTTCTCTTTCTCCAAGATGGAGTTTTCCTTATGTAGCCAGGCTAGCCTGAAAGTCTCAGTTCTCATGCCTCAGCCTACCTATTTGTCATGTATTGTATTGGTTGCTTTAGGAATGCTAGCCTATTAATTAATCTTTGTAAGTGTACCAAGAAGTACACTCTTATCCTGTATGAAGTAGGGATTTTATACATGAGGAATAGAAGCACTGAGGTGCTCAGTGATTAGCTTGGGATTTTCTTGTTGAGTGAGATAGCTCTCAGCATAATCAGACGATCTGAACTTGTATTTCTCATGATAATTATTATTATGATCAAAATAAGAATTTCATCTCTAAGCAAACAACCCATTATTCATTTTTAAAGGCATATGATTTGTACTCATTATTATTAAACTGTGTTGACTCTTAGTCTGATTTTATTCAGAGCTAAAAATAAGTAGATTTACCTTTATGCTTTGAGAAACATCTGTTAGTCAGTAATTGAGATGTAATCCTAGTATGTGCGTTATGCTCAATGCTCAATCAGCTGCATGGCTTTTAAAGTATTTGTTATTTAACAGGAATATCATTGTAAATATTCCTTTCCTCCACACTTGCGTATTTCAGTTCCCAAAACCCATCAATGTCACAAAAGCTTGGTAGGACTTTGCCGTATTTATTTGTTTTCTTCAATTCTCACATCTTCAAGTCCTGTTGTAGCTCCCTTCAAAGTTATCCTGAGTCTGTCTTTGCATTTTTCTCCACTGACATGTATACTGCTCTTCTCATTTGTATTAACCACTATAGTAAACTCAAAATAGAGGCCCCACCATCAGTACCTGCTCCTCAGCTACCAGACAAGTCAGATCCTAAACTTGGTTAAGCCCCCAAAAGCTTTCTCAGCACACAGTAAATCTCTTTACCATGGCTAGTTATCTTCCAGACCCGCTTTTCCCCACTATTTACACTGGCTCAACAACACTGGCCTTCACTCTATTGCTCAACAGGCTCCATTTCTTTTCTCACAGGCCCTTGCAGTAGCTGTGCCATACAGTCCTTCTGATTGTAGTAACTCGCTCTTAACATAGGCTCTCCGTTCAGACATCACCTCCCCAAGAAGCAGCTCCTGGTTAGCCTAGAATAGTGCTGTGGGTGTTTGTCTGGTTGTGGGCAGGTCAGTTAGCACTATCTGCTGCTAGCCTTGTGAAATCACTGTCTTCCTGACACTGGAATGTGAGCATCATGTGAGTAGAGATTCAGTTTATTCCTCATTCTTTCCTTTATTCTTGAGGCTTAGTGATTTTATTCATAGAAGGCATTCAGTCAGTAGTAACCAGTTGTTAATATTTCATAGCCATATCTTGGCTGGAGACTATGCCTCTAAAGATGCTCAGATGTATGGAAAAGTTGTCAAAATCCTATGCTTTACAATAGTATCTAACTAACCCTTATTACATTTATTTATTTATTTATTTAAATTTTAAAGTGGGACTTCATATGTAGCCCAGACTGCTGGTCTGAAATTTGAACTCTTCCTGCCTTGGTCTCCTTCGTGCTAGGACTATCAGTACTCGCTACCATGTTCAACTGGATTTAGTGTTATAAATTGTGTCACAAAGATGACAGTGGATAAACTCTTGCTTTGTGAGACCGTGGTTCATACAGGTGACAGTAGTGAATGCCATGAATCTTTTCGTTGGTGATTGCTGGGAGGAGCAGTGCTGTTGCTTCGTTGATGGTCAATTTTTTTTGGAATAGCTTGTTGCTTGTTTTGTTGTTTACCTTTTTTTTTTTTCATCAAAGTTAGGCTGTTGTGGTATAATTTAATGTATAGGCAGTGTCCATATTGTGAAGCAGCATCTGCGCTATATGTTTGAGGCTTGGAATATTTCCTCTAGATCAGTACTCACAGAGAACCAGCTTCAGAGCATGATGTTTTCAAGATATTTTATTGAGGTCAGCCCTAATTTTGACACAGAATTAGAGGGAAAAAAAAAAAACACCATTAGTTTACATTATAGGATATATGTATTGGATATATGTGTTTAATAAAGATACAAATAACATGAAAATGTTTAAGGGCAAAACTTAGGATGAATATTTAAACAGAAGGGGAAGGAAAGAAAGAGGGGCTACATTTTAATCATGTTCTGTACTTGAAAATCACTAGACGGACCCTTAAATAACCCAAGAGACTTGATAGAATTCCTACAATTCTTACAAATATTAAAATGAATGGTTCTTGACAGCAGTTTATGAGACTTTGAAAGTGCTGATGTACATGCCTTTTTCCAAATCATACATGCATTTTTGCTGTAATTGTTAGGTATCCACTAGTTTCATGAAGAATATCATTAGTGTGGAAGACTTTTCATTTCTCTCATGTTTGACAATAATGTATAATATTATTTTTGTACTACAAATTCTTTGAAGTTTTATATTGGTTTTGTCTTTGGGAAAGGATCTCACTGTCTAGCCCAGGTTGTTCTTGTATTAGAAAATTTACTGCCTTGAACAGATGTTTTTTGTTTCAGCTTGTCCGCTGCTGGTACTATAGTCATGTGGCATGCTGTCTTGCCTCTGACCAGTTCCTGATCTAATGGTCTGTCATTGGATACTTCTAAACATTTCACATATCTCGAAATGTAGTTTTCTTATTTTCATCAGCTTTCAGAGAATGCTGGATTGAATTCTTGAATTGCAAGTGTTGCTTTTAGAAATTAGATGATGGTAGTGTGGTTACACATTCTGGTCCTGAGTTTTTTGCTAGTCTAGGTCATACTAGACCACGGGTTAGCCGACTTTTCTTTTTTTGTATGTACTTATTCAATAGTAGTCTACTCCTACAAATACTAAGGCTTTACAGGTCCAACTGTCATGTTTTAGATGCTCACTTTGGAATTTGAGTTTTAAAGTAGGTATAGACAATGAATATATAAACAAATGTAGCTATGTTCTAATAAAACTTTATAAACAATGAAATTTGAATTTTATGTAATATTCTTGCCATAATATAGTCTTGTTTTGGTTTCTTTCAACATTTATAATCGCCACAATTATTCCTAACCTGCCTGTCAACTGTGATGAACTATTAGACTGCATTTCGGCCTACTCAGCTTTCAGATGAGCTCCCATCCCAAACTCAAGCCTTCAGCTATATAGTTCTTTGAAAGGAATTTGAAGTATACCTCAGAGAAAAAATGTTTTTTATTAGTTACCCTAGGATTCTGTCCACAGTTCTATTAGATACTAGACCAGTTATGTTCAGATTCCAATCAGAAAACATGATTTCAAGAAGTTAGAATAGTAATCCAGAGATCACACCAAAGCTGAATCAACAAAAGACAAGTAGGATTCTCACATAAAATTATCATTTTTTAGGAGTTTTGTTATTTTCATTCACTTGGATTTTTATCTATTTCTTAAAATTTAATTACATTTACTCTAGAATTATAAAACAGTTTTCTTTTGGGATTTAAAAAAGTTCTGACAATTTCGTACATGTATATGGTGTTTTTTGTTCATTTTCACCCCCATTATCTCCCTCAGTCCTTTCCACTCCCATTAAACACATTCTTCCCAACAAGCCGCCCTCCCCCTACCATGCAAGATAGCTTTTATTCACTTTTCAATTTTTCCTCTTCAAAATGGCCACATTTCTTTGGAAGGGTTATGCTGGGGTGGCAGGATTCTGTTTCACTTGCTTTATATGTCAAGCGCTGTGTTGCTGAAATCCAAGTCATCATACTCAGATCTTAGTTGCATTGCATGTTTTGTTTTATATTGCTT